AAATAAAATGAAAACTCTTGCGAAAAGAACACTGTCAGTCTGAAGACAAGCCACAGAATGGGGGACAATTTTGCCAAACGTACCTCTGATAAAGGACTGGTATCCAAACACACTGTTAACTTGTCAAAACTAGCTGATTTTCAAGCAGGCAAACAAATGCCCTTCGGGAGGGTACCTAACACCAATGAAGCTAATAGAGATGAAAACCCCTTATAGAACATTGCTAGGAAAACTGTGAACTCAATGAGATGCCACTGCACCCGTCAGAGCAGCCAGAACCAGACACCACTTAATGCTGGGGAGAACACTGTCACTGCCAGTGGGGATGCAAAACAAAATGGTCAAAGAATCTCCATTTTTAAGACGCCCCCAGGAGCAGCTGGTTCCAAGGGACACTTTGAAAATTACCAGTATAAAGTCAAATCTTCTTCAGGGTTGGGGGCTAGCTCAGTCGTTAAAGCACCTGCCTTTGAAACAGTCTGGCAGTTTGTGTAGCACAGGGCTGAGCAAGGCTTACCATAGGACCCGGCCACAAGGTGAGCAGGAGAGCAGCCCAGGAGAGCCACCCAGGAGAGCCTAGAGCAGTGAAGTTCTGATGCTGTCAGTCAATCTGTGACACTGTACAATATGGCACAGGACACAGCAGGAACAGTAGACTGTTAACAAGGTACCGGTTTGTTCATCTGTCTTAAATGTGCCACACTGATATCAAACAGGAGAGTACTACTATAGGGAGGGGAGGCCACTCTATTGTCTGGTACATTTTTCTATGATCCCATGAAAGTCTGTAAGTAAACTGATCCTTTTGTAGACTTGATACTACAGTTCTAGGTGAAAACTGTCCTGAGGATCAGCCTTCTTTTGAAAAAAAAAAAAAGATAAACAAAGACATACTAAAATCCTTTAGACATATAGATTGCTTTCAAACACCATTTCCTTTGCACAAGGACAGTATGCTCTTGGGCAGATTTTGTAATGTCTGAATTTCTTGCCATTTAAAATGGAGATACTCCCAACTTTCTAACAGGTTAGGTCAACTGTTGGATAAGCATAGGTGAAGGACCAAAAATAAAAGGTGTCCATTGTAGCTAAACAGTATTCTTCCTGTCTACAAAAATTTAATTCTGCTGAAGTAGGTTAGTCAGCTGTCCTCCACACTCAAGGGCCCAAGGCTTCAGGGGTTAAAACTGTCTACTGCACAGGTGCAGCCTTGTTTGTGGCTCCTAAGTATCAACGGCGTATCAGCTAATCTAGAGATGATCTCTAACACATGGGAAGATGTGGGTGGATACACACACTTCATCAATTAATAAAAGGCACTTGAGCACCTGTGGATCTGGGCATCCACTCATACTCTGGAGACCAGTAAGTACCTCATGTCTTCCTGGAGGTCATTTTTGTATTCTAGTGAAGAACTATTGTAACTGGCAACTATAAATACTGTTAAGCTGCAATGCTGCTTCTCTGTGGCATATCTGTGCTCTAGTTCAATATGCAGCACAGGACTGTGTTTGCATTAGAGCCCAGGCTTCCACATCTCCTCCTTCACCATCTTCAGTGATTTGGTCCATTTCCCAAACTGTTCCAATTAAGCATTGCTTCTCATTTCTAATTCGGTTACTAAACCCAAGTTCATCATCATCTCAATGCCAGTGATATAACAATAGTTTGGCTCCGAAAGGCCTGATTACCCTTAAATCTTCAAGGACACCCTGAAAAATAACATTTTATATTATACAGGTCACTTAATACATAATTCAGTTATTTATGTCGGATCTAAACAAACAAAAAACACCTTAAATGGAGATTATATTTTTTATCTGATTTCCCAAGGTCTTAGCTATTACCTTAACTTTCTTCTTTTTACTGTATTATGTACCTTATACATAGTCTATTAACTTGATTATAAAAAATAATTTCTTTGTGCATCACTATATACATTATCTACTTAGGACAATCTTAGCTAATGAAACTAAGTGTCCTGGATAAACTCATCAAGGCAAAATGGACAAGCAAGGTCAGGTTTTAATTGCCAGACACATCTATACTGTGCTGGGTCAATGTTACACACTAAGAAACAATGAAAAAACAAAACATGTCCTGAATATCTATACCTTTAAGACTCTCAAAGACAAGCTTCATGAAGAGGGGTACAGGGGTGGTTGATATAGTAAAAAGGGGGGGCTCAGGACCGACAGGGGAACTACTAGACATCATGAAGACTGACATGTATGAAAAGGGTCAAACTTGTTTTGTCATCCACAAGTCAGGCCAGTGAAGACCTGGTAATATGTTACCTCTGTCCCAGCTGTATCTGGGTCTTCCACCCATTTATTATTGATGAATGGTATGGAATTAGAAATGCTACACTGTTTCTATGTATCAGTCAAGATGCATGTAAAGGGGTAATAAATTGGCTAATTTGAAGGTCAAGTTTATAAGGACACAGGAGCAAATTCTGGGTCAAGTTCTTTCCACAGCGATTCTAGGAACCAGCTATCTCATGAAATGGTGATCAATTTACATCAGCAATTATTATTCTCTTTTACACTAAGAAGTAGAGTAAGAAATCCTTTTAAGTAGAGGCAAAATGTCAACAAGCTGGAGGTCTTATGAAAACAGACCAAATGTGATGTAAGACCATGTTTTCTACAGAGCCTCCTGAGTCAATGACACTCACTGGTGACCTTAAGAAAAACTTCTAACCTGTTCCCCCATCTCATCCAGTCAAGAATTAATTTCTCTTGGATATACTAAGTGCTGTACTAACATTCAAATTTTTTATCCTACTTTATTGTTCTTAAAGAACATAATAACTTTCTCCTTTCAGTTACTTTTATATACTAGATATTATTTATCTTGGAAATAAAGGATTCCCAAGTTACTTTAAGTGAATATCTGTAAAAACTCCTTAATTTATCAAACCAAAATAAAGATCCAGTATTTTTCTGAATCCCAAGAATGAAGCAATAGAAACAAGAAGACACAGGCAAAGTGAAGCCCGGGACACTTAAACTTCCATGCCATGTCCTCACAGGATGCAAAACAAGATGTTAAAGGCCAGGCACTGTGAAACACACCTGTAACATACTCAGGAGGCTGAGGCAGGAGGATCACTAGTTGAGGACAGCCTGTGTTACACAGGAAAACTGTGTCTCAAATAAAACTCACATGAAATATGATATTAAATACTAAGAAAAAAGGCAGAAGCTGCCTTGGCACCTTATAATATTGGAGGTTCCCTGTACATAACAATGTCTATAGATATATTTCTAAATAAACCCCAAACATGTAAAGCCCAATTTGTGGCTTGTCTATTTCTATACTCTCAGGAGAATTGCTTTCCTACTTCTTTACCTGTCTGCAGAGCAGCCAACCTGTAGGGTTTATGTAGCCAGCAGCCACTGCACTGACCGCATTCGTAACGTTCCTCTACCTGCACCGTGCCTTACCTCTTGTGCAGAGAATCCCTTTGATCAGAATTTCTGAAAACTCGAATGCACACTTTCAAAAGTCTGGAAAACTTTTACTATAATAATCAAATATGCCTTAGACATATATACTAGTGGAAAAAAAAAAAAAAACCTCCAGGGCATCTGTGTGATCACTTTGAAACATGAATTTTTCACATTTAGAACCCAATTAATATGCAATCTTCTTCACAAGTAACAATAACTGAATGAAAAAAGACCTTTCTTGGGACATCCAAGCACTGATGCTCTGCTCAACAAAGCAAAGGAAAATGAAGATGCATGCATGCATGCATGTTTGCAGTTTAAGGTCAGTAATTCGCAGTCACTGGCTTGTGACTTTTCGTAGGAAAGAGGCTCTCAAAGATCTACCCCCTCCAAAAAACAAAACAACCTTTATTTCATCGGGGGGGGGGGGGATCAAAACATGTTCATACTACAGCTAAGCTTGTCAGTGGTGGTGAAGCCATAGGCCATGGCTGACTACTGAAGATAACGGTCCAACAACCACATTTCCACTTTGCAATGTTTTATTTGAAGGCTAAATGGTAGTATAGGAAAAACTCATGCTAAAAAGAAGCATATAAATAGCCCTCATTTCACCACTATCTTTGTAATAGTTTTGAAAATTTTGATGCATATAAAAAAGCTTGTGTAGAGAAAACAGCCTTCCACTCAAACATGACTGTGAATCTTTCAACAATTTAATTCTAACATTAGGAACTTTGCACTTTGGTAGAAATTTTAACTCATCTTTTTCAAACTTACCAGATGAACAAAACCAAAAATTCTTGGCTTCATTTCCCCTGCCCCAATGTAGTAGCTATCTCAAATTAAAATTTCCATTTATAACACTCATTTTGTTCAGAGTATCATTTCCTTGGGAGGCCGGATCAAATTCCCAGGTGTCAAGCCTCAAGCTTTATTTCTTGTGTGGGACTCCATCTCATGTAATTTTAAAGTACAGGAGTCCACTTTCTGAACATCAAATCCAAAAGGCAACCTCGTTCCTCTAACACACCCTGCACTCTCGAGAAGGGGCAACAGCTCTAACCACCAGCTTCAGGTGAGTGAATGTACATGATTATCAAGACAAGAACCATCAACATTGTCTGGATAAGGTTAAAAGCAAGACTCTGAAGTCAGGATCTATTATTTGTTCAAGCTGAACAGAAAACAGAAAACACCTTTCTTGGGAACAATTCACGACTTGGGTAGTTCTCCAGTCGGCCTTCATTTTCAAATGGTTTCTGCTTTGAGCGCAGAGGGACTAGTTATGTATGCTATTTTGCAAGGGGTTATTATTTTGATTAATCTAATCTCAGAATTTTGACTAAATTACTCCTGTTATTTACCATACGGACTCTAGAATTTTAACAATTAGAGAAAGTCTTTTCTCAAAAAAAAATTAGACAGAAGACAATATAAATCAGAAATACTTAGCAAAAGACACATTAAATTACACTTAAAAATATGGTTGCAATATTCACTTTCTATTCCTGAAACAAAAATCAGTCATTTATCAGTAAGTGCATTTTTCCACGGAGAAAATATTTATTAGTTTTCAAATGATCACATAATACAAATATTACACAGTTAATCATTCTAGAAAATAACTTATATTAATATTCATAAAATAAACACGAAATAATATAGGATTGCATATTGTGACACGAAATTGTTCTTTAAAAATCTGAAAGGAAAATGCATCAAAATTAAAAGTTCAAACAAATCAGTATACAGCAATACACAAAAAGTTCCACTTTGAAATAGCTTGCAGTGCATGAGGTAATGAAATGCACTGGCATTTCTTTTGCATACTTTAAGTACAGAGCTGAAATTAATTAAAGCTTGAGATTCCAAGCTTAAATCACTTTCTGTCTTCAGTGCTGAGACAAAAGGCTAGTGACCTCAGGCCATAAAATGGTTTCTACAATGGTTTAAAAAATGAAGCTAAATTTCTAGGCAAATCTCACTTTCAGTTCTCTGAGTTCTTACTAAAATGTTAGGGAATTTGGTTTTTGTTTATATGTATTTATGAAGTATCTTATTAAGTCAGGAATATAAAACTGTAATTATTCATGGGATTTCAGAGTTCTGTGGGGAAATTTTCTGTTCAAAATTATCTTTAAGAATTACTTTTAAGCATTGTACTTTAGAAAAAATTATTTATAATTCCTAAGAAAATACAGTTCTTATTTTCTAAAAACAGATTATATTTTAGCAAATGTGGCTTTTATACTTTGAGAGCCTAACATTTTAGTTGTTATTGTTGTACAATTTCTCTTCTTAAAACTTACTCCAAATTAAAAGGAATTGGCAGCATCAGGTGACTTAGTTTTCCTTAACAGCTTTGCCTGGTTTCTAGAGAGTTACTAGATAACCAAGGAAACAGACGTTTTGATAGCTCCTGTCAAGCAGTGATTTGGATAACTACATTTCAGTCACACCTGCAAGTTCAGTGACTCTTTGGATTATCACTGTTCCATACCAACTGCTCCGTATCATTCAAGTAGTGCCTAGTGCAGAGGAAACCCTAACAGGCATTTACTACTTAGGAACACAGACAGGACTCTGCTGGTCTCCAAGATAGCTCTACAACTTTGTAGATTTGATAAATTACAGTAAGAATAAGGATCAGGACCAGCAAGAGATGAGCTAAGAGTACATTCTAACACTAATGGACTCTTGAAGAGTTGAGTTCATCCTTTATTTGCTAGTGCCCTTTAGCACAGGGCAACAAAAGAAAGAGTGGGCAGAGGGGGGTTCATCAAGCTTCCTGTATGTTTTTTATGCTACTTTTTAAAGTGGGGGGTACCTACTTGATTAAAATGGTTTTCAGACCCACAAATCTTTTAAGTGAACAGATACAGAGAGCTGCTTTGAAAGACAAGACTCTCAAGCATCCCCTATTTCAGTCTTCAGAATAAGAAGTATTTTCAAGGCCATATAAAACTCCAATATGAAAAGATTACTTCATTATTTGAGCCTTTCCATTTCAGACCAAAAATAAACCAGAGTAAATCTTAAAACGTTTGTAAGAAACAAGATCAGGTGGCTGGCTCATCCTTGTGTCTTCTAGACATATTGCATGGATCCATTCACCACTGCCTTCCAAACTGCAGGTGCTGGCATGTGTGACAGATATCATCCATGAGGGCTCTGCTAGAAGAATTCCTTTTGCTGAAGAGGTATGATGTTTTACCAGTTGAAAGAAATCTGGGCAATTAGAGAACAAATAAACCGGTCTCCCATTATCAAGATACCTGGAGTCACAGAAGGAAGCCACCAAGGAAACAATGAAAACTTGCCAAAGCACCAACTTCACATTCTACCCACTGTAGATGGTAAGAATTGCCTGGACTCACACCCTACCCTTGGCATCAAAGAAACTAAGAAAGAACCATCTTAATGCCCTAGGAAAAATCTAGTCATTCCTAGGGACCAGAAAACTACTTTTGAGTATATTAAATATAATTTTCAGGGACATTAAATCCTGAAATTTATACTCATACATATTTATTTTATAAAAGGATGAAGCCTACATTTGACAGTAAAGCCACAACAGTACTATCATTCCATCTCCTAAGAGACTTGAGTGTGAAGGCCTAACATTAAAGTAGGAAAAGACCAAAGAGTCCTCACTAACAGGGCAGGGTGACAACCGGACATTCAACTATATAAATTAAGAGATCTCAGATGTCCAGCTCACCCAAGGAGGAAGCACAGGAACTTCAATTTCTGGACTCTAAAAGAACTCTATCCAGCCCACTGTTATAATAAAGGCCGAAGTGGGGAATTACTGCCTTTGTTAAATTTCTGTGAGCTACACAGGCATGGACCAAATTATGTGTGCGTGCCCCAGATTAGACACTGCTTTAAATATCTGGAGAGAAAATTCAATAAATTTTAGTTGTTTTTCGAATGGGCACTACATAGTACTCTCAGAAAAAATAGAGATTGCAGTCCCACCTGGTTCTTGTAAGAAGCCAAGGAGATTACCAACTGAATCAAATGGGCAACAGAAGGACACTCCACTCTACAAATAAACCCAAGTAAATAATGGAAAGCACCCACTTGTTATTATCCTCTCCCACTCTCTCCAGAAGCTGGGTATTCTGTCTCCAAGGGTTCAGTGGAGAAAGTGGACCCTGGCGTCAAAAGCTCTCCGTGGTCTTGTATCTGTGGCTCTAGGATCACTCCTTGCACCTCTGGTAGGAGAGAAGCACTGAAATAGAGCTGAATATAGATTTAAGAAAAAATTCTTATTAAAAAATTACATACTCTGGTCATTTGAGTTTGTAATAGCTTATCCTCAGGACAAAAAGGAGCTATCTTGGGACAAACTTTCCTGAGTACCATCTTACTTTGAATTTTAGAAGTCTGTTACCACAAATGATTAATTCCTTAGTAGCTATTAAGAAGTGACCTGTACTGATCTAAGCCATAACATACTGTAACAAACCACTCAACTTCAAATAGAAGATCGAAGCAAAAAAATCATATATTATGATGGGAAACAAGATCATAGTTGTCTTAAAGGGACAGGGAGAAGGCATTCAACCTCAGATACATCAAAAGAGCCAGTTAATTCTTCCATCAAAGAAAAGAAGACGGATTGGAAAGCAGAAACAGAATAACCATAGTAACGGACTACTACACTTCAGGAGTATCTACAAAGCTCAATTTAATGGTTTAAATTCCAGTAATTTGGAGAGAATTGATCCACACTATAGGCCAATATTATGGCAAAAAAAAAAAAAGGTTAAAATTTGAGTTTTACCAAAGTTCTGACTACTGTCAATGAAAAAGATTTCTTCTTCAAGCATTCACGTTTGAACTTGGAGGGCTGGATAATGTTCATAGGTAAAAGATATTTAAATTTTTTAAATGCATGATCAATTTGTTTGGAGCCAAGAGGGACCAGGAATAATCATTAGTGGCCACAATGTAGAAATTAAAGCATCAAAGTATAACAAACAGTAGATGATGCTAAAGATCCTGGAAAACAGCTTTATTGTATGTAGGACAGAGGTTCAAAGCACATAGCATCTGAGCAAAGAAAAGCTGAAAGGAGAACCAGAGAGGCAGGTATATATGTAAAGTCACAGGAATTAACAGTTTTGCCTCAGGGAAAATGATCAATTATCTTTGTGGTACAGAGTACTAAATTCCAGTTAAATCTGAAGACCTCCTTCTAACTATAAAAGTGCCATGTGTCCCTGCTCTCTGATTAGTGAGCCATGGTGTCCTATTTCTGGAACATATTGTGTTTTGGGTAAATGAAGGGGAAAAATTCTACCAAGTTATTTCCCTTTCACATCGACTGGTTATCAACAAGGGCTCCTTACCTGTTAGTGGAACGAGGGCTGGGCTCTCTCCTGCTCTCTATCAAACCAACAATGGTTATAGTCTCAGCATTAAGGAGGTAGTAACCAACAGTTAGTGTCTACTGCCTTCGCTTCCTCCTGGCTCTGGCAGCCAGTTTGGAAACATACCAAAGCTGAAAAGGAATGGTTACTCCATTATCTAACAACATTTAGAATGAATTTTAAAAACCTGAAGATGAAGAGAAAGCTGAACGCTTCTACTTAGGAACATATCCAACTCTGTACAAATGAGGAATAAAAACAATTTGGCCCAAGAAAAGGAAACCTGTGATGAACTTAACCATCCAACCTATAAGTTCCAAAAGTTAAAAGAAATGAAAAAAAATTGAAAGTAACAGAGGAGGTAGAATTGCCACCCGGGAAAGACATGTGGGATAAATAATCGCAGGCTGCTTCATGAGGCCAAGGGGCAACACTCAGCCCTCACTTACAGTTCCCAAATAGACCAGGTTTTTTTTTAGACCAGTATGTTCTAAAAAGTGCTGTCGGCTGATAGTACATCAGGGAGGTACACCAGGTGATGACAGGAAAAGGGGTGCAAGTTAGAACCAAGACCTGAAAGTGAACTATCTCAAGGTTAGGTAGTTCTGAGAACTAAAGAACTTAGTTCTTCTTGGTAACAACCAATACACAGCCTCCCATGTCCCTTCTACCTCTGCAATGCCAGTAAGTGCTACAGAAACGCTGCAGAACTACGGGACAATAAACCTCTAACTCTTTCTAAGTGATTTTATTGGCAAACTCTTCATTTTGTGATATTTCAACATAAATCACTGAGGATTATTTCAGAATTCTACACTAATGAAATCCAAGTAAAATTTAACTGCAATCATCAAGGAAGTTTTTTTAAAAAATCTATTTGGCAATCATAAACCAAGGTAGGGATTTTTCCAAATTTCCCAATTTCCCACCAATTGTCAAATAATAACACACGTTATTATTACCAATCCTAACACAAGTGGGTGAAAACTGGAAAAGGTGCAGGGCCATTTTGAACAAACACGCATGACAATCTTATTAAATTAGAATCAACTTTCTCAGCTTAACATTAGGTTACGTTCACAACTTCAACAGGAATGGTAAGCTAACCACCTCCAAACCCTTGATTTATTCTGTACCTTCCAGAATACATGTTAAAAGCACCTTAGCCACCTCAGCTTCAAAACCACCACCACCACAGAAAAGAAAACCCTAAACCTTTCCGTTAAGTTAGGTCAGTATGACTTGGCTCAAGAAACCAGGAAACCTGTGAACTTCTCAAAGTCGGATTTCATTCAGAACTCTTCTTTATTCTGCCTGCAGCATCAGAGCTTCAGCACATTCTTACTCGGCAATGGGTAAGCACACAGACTTTGCTAAATAAGAATTATTTCAAAATCATTCAAGGGACCTGGTATTCTCTGTGCTCCAAGTTAAAAGTCTGGATTTGGTGATTTTATACAGAAAAACGTACAATTTCCAAATGAGGTCCTAAGTTAAGATCAGTGATACAGCTAACCAGAGCACTGCCTTGCCTGCTTTCCCCAACACAACTCCCTAATGCTGTGACCCTGTAATACATTCCTCGTGTTATGCTGACCCCAACCACGTTATTTTCACTGCTACTTCCTTACTGTAACTTTGCTACTGTTATGAATCATAACGTAAATACCTGATATGCAGGATATCTGATACGCGACCCCGGTAAAAGGGTTGTTCGACCCCAAAGGAGTAGCAACCCACAGGTTGAGAACCGCCGCTCTATGTGATGTTTCAAAGGGAAAAAACTAGGTATTCTGTAAGAATGAAATGTAATCACTTCAGAATAAATTTCAAGCCAAAGGTAATAAGACCTGCAGTGCTGTGATGTGATGTCACCACAAAAGGGGGTGACGGCTACCCACCAGCAGGTTAACAGTCATCAGTGTTCTCTGTAACTGTCTACATTTACTCTCTCTTACAAAACCCAGTCATGTACAAATCAAAAAGAAACAGTATTATTTATACATACTTAGCATTATATGCATTTGCACGTCCCACTGAACAAGAGAAATTCTGTTGAAATGTCTGTCAAATGAGCATATTTTTGTGAAATTTGCCCTCAGCACTAAATGATTAAATAATGAAGCTGTATGGCTAATATTAGTTTTAAGCATTTCTATACCTAGTTATTTTTAAACAGTGAACTAGGATAACATAATTTTTGTTGTTTTTAAGCTAGGGCCTCACATAGCCCAGGATGGCCTTGACCTTCCTAACTCTGCCTCCTTAGTGCTAGAACCACACAGAGTTCTCACTAGTCCAGGAGAGTGATTCTACCTTATAGACTCGAGCCACTGCTGAGCTAAATTTAAACCTGCTCACAAATGTGTGATTTATAAAATAAGCCATTATAAATGCCTTTTTTTTTTTTTTAAACAAAACACTATCTTTGTCTCTCCGGCCCCTAGAAGAATGTGTGGCATTCTGAACAGGTAATTCAGTAAATGTTTTCCAAATGAAGCACAATCAAGAAACGGTAAGAAAGTAAGCACTGGGTTTCCAATCTAACATACAGGTAGACAATAAATAATTCAGCTTAATTCTAAAAGAACAACTTTATCCAATCTATCAGAGTTGAGACAGGAGGTAAGACCACACTGGGCTACCTACCAAGCACCAAGCCAGTCGTGGCTACACAGTCATACCCCCAATCCAAAAGGAATCATCTCCCAAACAACAAAACCCCCTCAAAGTCTAACAAAATTCCATCATAAATGTATTTTCTCACCCCTTTGAAAGTTACTGAAGTCACACCACTAGATGTCAATACCAAGTGTTGTTACAGGAAAACAAGAAATAACCAAACAAATAGTTTTCACATCCACTAAGGCAAAGGATGAAGTAAAATGGGTGAAAGAAACCATCCATACTGAAGATATATTTAAAGCAGTCAACTTACTACAGAATCTAAGGCAAAAAGATGTTAAGTTCTATCAACCAAGAGTAAAAGGGGATGTCAAAGGAAAAACAAAACTCAAAAATCCTTACATTTAAATGAGAAAGAACTGTTTCCAGGTGGTGGCAGGACATGCCTTCAGTCCCAGCACTTAGGAGGCAGAGGCAAGAGGATCTCTGTGAGTTCAAGGCCAGCCTGGTCTACATAGAGAGTTCCAAGGCCAGCTAAGGCTGTTACAGGAGAAATCCTGTCTCACCCCGCCTCCACACAAAAGCAAAACAAAACAAAACAAAAACAAAAAAACAACAAAAACTGACTATCTGACTCACCCAAGTTAATGAAAGTCATTTTAGGTCTCAAGTTAGTCAACTGCGATTTTTATCATTAGCCTACCTTTTCCCTCTCCAACAGCTCCTACATCTGCTTGTTTTTAGTATAAATTATTGGCTTTGTTCTTAGGATGGCCAGGAGACTTGGAAATGTATGTTACTTTAAGATAAAGCACTTCTAATATATTTCTTATCCCAGGATAAAACTGGATGAATTCACTCAGAAAAATGAAATGACAGCAGGTAACAGTCTTGCTTCATTAATTAATTTACATCAATTCCTTTACTATCTTTATCCATTTATGGCAAAAACCGCCATTAGTCGTCAACAATAACAACAACAAATGAAGAATAAAACTTATAATGCCCTGACAGCAAGGATGCCAAAAACACTAAAATCAAAACACAGAAATACAAGAAACAGAATATTTAATGCTGTCTCGGGTCATCGCTTCCACAATACACAGAGAAAAACAAAAACCTCCTTGATCAATGATCACAACAACTCCAGCAGTAAAGCAAACAGAGAGCAAGCAAGCACCTCCCCGATCCTGGTACTGGAAGAGCACACCAGCACTGCTATTGCCAAAACCCGTCCCCATC